CAACGAAAATATAACCATTAAAATCATTACTTTTCATCCTTTTTGAAAACTGAAGAGACCAAAATGATCGACCTTATTCACAAAGCATCCGTAACTTTTGTGACGTCATCAAAATAAACCCCATGTGCTTTTTTTTCTAAAAATAGAATCAGACGCCATGACACCTCCTCGAGTTGCTACTGATCTAGCCTTTCCCGGAGTGACATCCCCATACGAATCGGTAACGACATCATCTTGCGTCTGGCAGCAAAGAAGTCGGATTAGTGACCCTGTTCGACAAATGGCGTTAATTTTCCAATCTGTTCACTTCTATTTGGCCTATTTACCTCTCTTATTCCCCTGTTCTATTGGCTGTTTACTATTTTCTAGTTGGCCTGTATTCTTATTTTATTTCCTATTCAGTTGGCTATACTTATTTTATTTCCTATTCAGTTGGCCTATATACTTATTTTATTTCCCTATTCAGTTGGCCTTATTTATTCGATTCAGTTGGCCTATATACTTATTTTATTTCCTATTCAGTTGGCCTATATACTTATTTTATTTCCCTATTCAGTTGGCCTATATACTTATTTTATTTCCCTATTCAGTTGGCCTATATACTTATTTTATTTTCCTATTCAGTTGGCTATTCAGTTGGCCTATATACTTATTTTATTTCCCTATTCACTGGTCCTAGCATGTTGGCCTATCTACTTATTCGATTTGTCCTATTCGTCCAACCTCACAGTCACTGTATTTTTTTATGATGATGCCCATCAGCTTTGAAAATGTTCTTTTTTTTGATGACGCGAATTTTAATGCAGATCTTAACCTTATCAATTCATTCGTAATAGCTAATAAAACTAAGTTTACCAATTAATATACATGCAAACCTTAACCATGGCAATGTAACGTGTTAGGCTCTGATAGCACTCATCAAATGACGGGTGATATTCACTATGTCACTCGCTACTTACAAGGCTACAGCACGATAGACTAATGAAATCCATATATTGATGAATTTTCGTGTCTGAAAAAGGTTATCCACATTCAAAACAGTGACGTCACGAATTCAGCTATACTCAGAGTGATGACGTCAAGACCTAGCTATCTTTAAACAGTGATGTCACAGTGATGTAACGACTGCGTTCATAATTCAAACTAATGATATCACGGTCTCACTATCCATACGCCTTACTAATGACGTAACCACCTCGGTCTCATTCAGAACAATGACGTCACGATTTCCCACTCCTTACGATGACGTCACGAATTTACTCCTTACCAATGATGTCACGACCCCCCACTTCATCAAAACAATGACGTCATGACCTCCCATACCTCTTACCAATGACATCACGACCTTCCAAACTCCCAACCAATGACGTCACGACCCTCCAAACTCCCAACCAATGAAATAGCCACCTCGCGCTTATCCTATGACGTCACGACCTCGCCACTGACACCCTAACCGTGACGTCATAGGCCTATACTCACGAAACGGATCCTTTGGTGACGATTTTCCTCAGAGGTCCCGAAGGAGCCGCGGATTCGGAGAAGCTGATGCGGTTGCCGGTGCGGAATCTGGGGAAGGAGAAGGAGGTGATAAATTGAGGTGAAGAGGGGAGGAGAGAAGATGAAAGGAGACGAAGAGGATGAGATAGGAATAAAGAATAAGAAGAGGGAAGGACGAAAAGAAGGAAGAAAAGGAAAGGAGAGAAGAGGGAATAATAAGAGAAAACGGAAATTGATAGGGGAGGAAAAGAAGATATCAGAAGAGGATTATGAAGACGGTGAAGAAGAAAGAATAAGACAAGAAGAAAAAATGAGGGAAAGAAGAAAGAAGCAGAGAGAGAGAGAAAAAAAACAGATTATGATAATGAAGAAGAGAGGAAGAGGAGAAGGAAAAAAAGAAGGTTTAGGGAAAAGACAAAGAATTAAGAGGAAGAAGCGATAAGACAAATAAAAAAGGAGAGATAGAGGAGATACAGATAAGATGAAGATATTATTGCAAACTTTATTGAAGGCGTGTTGATTTACGAGTAAAATTTATGATTTATAGTATTTGTGCGTTCGTATGTGTGTATATCGTACCAACATCGTCCAGATTTGTGAATGACTAGATATAGCTTATTAAAGGGTAGTTTTATTATTATTATATATCTTATTATAATAAGAGTGAAGGTGAAGTGGAGGGGATGAGAGGCGAAGGGGAAGGGAGGAGAGAGAAGAGGAAGGGAAGAGAGAGAAGAGGAAGGGAGGGGGAGAGGAAGGGGAGAGGGGGAGAGGAGAAGAGGGAAGGGGAGGGGAGGAGAAGCGAAGGGGAAGGGAAGAAGAGAGAGAAGAGGAGGGAGGGGAGGAGAAGGCGAAGGGGAAGGGAGGAGAAGGGAAGAAGAAGGGGAGGAGAGGAGAGGCGAAGGGAAGGGAGGAGAGGGAGAGAGGAAGGGGAGGGGAGGAGAGGGAGGAGGAAGAGGAGAGGAAGAGAGAGAGGAAGTGGAGGGGATGAGAGGCGAAGGGGAGGAGGAGAGGGAAGAGGAAGGGGAGGGGAAGGGAAGGGGAAGGAAAGGAGAGAAGAGGAAAGAGGGAGGAGAAGAAGGGGAAGGGAGAGAGGGAAGAGGGGAGAGGAGGGAAAAAGGGAGGAGAGGGAAGAGGAAGGGGGGGAGGAGAGGGAGGAGGAAAGGGAAGGAAGAGAAGAGAGGGAATGAGAGGCGAAGGGGAAAGGGAGAGAGAGAGAAGAGGAGAGGGGAGGAGAAGAGAGAAATGGAGAGGAGGAGAGGCGAAGGGGAAGGGAGAAGAGAGAAGGGGAGACATAATGTTACATCGCCTTTGAAAAGATTATGATTTTTTTTTTTGTCACGAATGTTTTCAGTTGCAATATTCTTCTGGCTTGTGCTTACACTTGTATTTGGTCGTATATTTGTTTGTCTTTTTCACAACTCATTTGCAAATGAATTACTTTTTGGATCGATTTCTTTACCCATCGTCTTTTGCATAATTTTACTCATCACTTTGTGTTAACAGAAAACATTAATTCATATCTTTGTTGTTTTAACCACATTTATTTATTCACTGTAATATTTGTATATGTCTTCATCTTTATTCCCAATTAAATAGATTTCATACCTTTGTATTCACTATTTTCTATGTCCATATGCAATTAATTCCTATGCAATCTTTACCTATTTTCATTTAATTACATATCAGACCGAGAGAGAGAGAGAGAGAGAGAGAGAGAGAGAGAGAGAGAGAGAGAGAGAGAGAGAGAGAGAGAGAGAGAGAGAGAGAGAGAGAGAGAGAGAGAGACAGACAGACAGACAGACAGACAGAAGACGAGAGAGAGAGAGAGAGAGAGAGAGAGAGAGAGAGGAGAGAGAGAGAAGAGAGAGAGAGAGAGAGAGAGAGAGAGAGAGAGATTGAGAAAGAGAGAGAAAGAGAAAGACAAATAGACAGATATATAGCAGACAGATAGCCCGAAAGACGAACGAGAGAGAAAGAAAGAAAAGAAAAAAAGACAAACATACCCCTTACCAAAGAAATCCCATTTTCTATGTCATCGGCCTAACTAAAATAAACCCCGCGACGTGCACTCACCTGAACCCATAGCCCCCATAGTTGTCGACGGGATCTCTCTCGTCCATGAGGATGGGCACGGGCGTGGGGGCGGGGGTGGCGGGGGCGAACTGGGGGGCGGCGACGGCACACCCGAAGCAGAAGGTCATGAGGAGAGCCTGGGGAAAGAGGAAGGGCGTGGGTTCAGTTATCGAGGGAAGGGGAGAGGGAAGGAAGGGGTGGAGAGGCATTTGAGGGAAGCGGAGGAAGTGGAGGGGATGGGAAGCGAAAAGGAAGGGAGGAGAGAGAGGAAGGGGAAGGAGCGAGAAGAGGAAGTGGAGGGGAGAGAAGGCGAAGAGGAAGGGAGGAGAGAGAAGAGAAAGGGAGGGGAGGAGAGAGAAGAGGAGGAGAGGAAGAGGAGGGGAGGAAGTAAAGGGAAGAGGAGGATGGGAAGGGGAGGGAAGGTAAGGAGAGAGAAAGAGAAAGGGAGGAGAAGCGAATGGAAAAGGGAAGAGAAGAGAAGGGAAAGGGTAGAGGTGGAGGGACGTGGGTTTAGTAAGGAGGGAAGGGGAGGGAAGGGAGGGAGAGGATAGAAGTAAAATAAAGGGGAAGAGGAGAAGGGTAAAGAAAGGAAGGGGAGGAAAGGAAAGGGAAAGGAAGTCAAGGAGAGGAGGAAGGGCGAGGGAGGGAAGAGAGAGAAGGTAAGAGGAAAGATAGGGCAGGAAAGGGGAAGAAAAAAGGAGGGGGGGAGAAAGATCACTGATCAGCAACTTATATGAAAAGGTCATTTTTTTACAGATACCACTATATAAATATGTGTGTGTTTGTATTTGTGTGTGTGTGTGTGTGTGTGTGCGTGTGTGTGTGTATATGTGTGTGTGTGTGTGTGTGTGTGTGTGTGTGTGTGTGTGTGTGTGTGTGTGTGTGTGTGTGTGTGTGTGTGTGTGTGTGTGTGTGTGTGTGCGCGCGTATGTTTGTGTTTGCGTGCATACGTATACTATATGCATATATACATATATAAATATATATAGAATGATGATCAGCAAGTGAATGCCTTGAAATGATACATCACCTAAACAAAATGTGTAAAGCAAAACCTGCAGCACCACTATTCAAATGAAGCAGTTGATTTAAAGTAAAATGAGCCTCGATATTAGCCATGAACGATAGTAAACATCTTAAAACACCAGATCATAAATTTCAAGAACAGGAAGCACCAGTATTCATCAATTCATTACCTCGTCTGCTGGTCTATAAACTCATGGATTCAGAAAGTATCAAAATCGTAAAACTTATAATAAAAAGCTTCCTTACACTTATTCGCATGCTTAGGGGTGAAAATAAACAGTCTAAGGTAAGAATCTAACCTTCAACCAGACAATAAAAAGTAAATCATAAAAAAAAGAGAAAAAATATTTCTATAAACTAAGTACCCAAGTCAGACAAGTTTAAGAACCCCTTGCCAGAAC